CCCTGAGCTAACATCCGTGCCCATCTTCCTCCACTTTATATGGGGACACCACCACAGCATGGCCTAACAAGCGGTGCCTCGGTGCACGCCTGGGATCCAGACCCGGGCCGCCAGCAGCGGAGCGCGAGCACTTAACCGCTACAGCAGGGGGCCGGCCCCCAACATTTTCTAAATCTAGGTAGTGGGGTAAGAGGGAGTCTGTTATTTGATTTACATTTGAAATATTTCATATTTAAAGCTGAAAAAAAGTAAAACTAAACAAATCGGAGAAGAAGCAACCACCAATTTTAGGACAAACTGTAGCCCTCTGAGCTGACCCCAGGGGCCCAGGGACCTGGCAGCCGGTACCCTGGTCTCACCTGAGTGTAGTGGGTGCAGGTGGCGTTGCGGGCACACTCTGCTGCTGCATGGCTGTACCGCTGCCCCTCTGCGAACCACAAGCCCACCACGTGGACAAAGGACGCTGAGCCCACCGGCAGCAGCTGCACGTTCCAGCCCACTTGTGGGGCGGCCCAGGGAGCCGACACCGGGCTTGGGGCCGGGCCACCACAGAGGGCCGCCCTGGCCTGAGCCCACTGGGCCAGGCTCTCGCTCCAGTCCTGGGGGCGGCACAAACAGGACATCAGCAGGGGGCCTCTGGGCCAGGCCTTAGTGATCCCATTCCCCCACGGGGTGCCGGGTCATGCAGAGAGCACTGGACCAGGAGTCCTGGGTGGCCGCTTGACCTCTCTGAGCTGGTTTCACCCACTTCACCAGGGCCAGGGAGGGTCAGACAGGACCTGCGAGAAGCTCTCCAAGATGTGATGGAAAAAGCACCTACAGTGTCTGGACTCCTGACCCAGAGCCTGGCTCCACCCAAGACAGAGTCTCCATCCTCCTGACTCCTGTGTGGGCACCCTCAGGTCCTGCCCAGGGCACCACGCCCCCGAGGGGGACAGGTGTTCCTGAGGAGTAGTGCCAGCCCAGGCGATAGGATGGGCTTCTGCCGTAATTTTTTCCATCTGGTAATGTGAGCCCTGGGCAGTTCTGTACTGCCGAACTGGTTTTGTATTTGCCGTTAGGTACAACTGGCCCTGGCGATTGTGAGAAATTGCTCTACTTAGCTTCCCTTCTTCAATGCAAAAAGTTGCAGCAGCCATGTCGCTGTATCCTATTCCCCCGCCTTGGAGTGTGTAGGGGCACCAGCAGGGAAACAGGACCACAGAGGGTGTGAGAGGTCTCCAGGGCCTCAGTGCTTTGGCCCCAGCGAGCACAGTTCTCTGGAGCTGGCCTAATCTGCTCTCCCAACCCACACACCAGCTGACCTCCCCATCACCCCCCACAACAGTCCCCCCTCCTCTGAAATGAAGGGCTCTGCAATCAGGATGACATGTGTCCCCCCCATGGCCACGCCCTGGTCCAGTCCAGCCACCTAATTCCAGCTGTGTAGGGCCAAAGCCGTGGGTATGAAGGAGGCTGAGTGGTGGGGCACCACTTGTATCTTTTATGAAATGTAGTTTTCTCAGACTTTGGCAACAGGGCCATGAAAAGCATAGACACTGCTGACCAGCTGATGGGGAGCACCCCACACCAGGTGCTAGGGCTGGGTGTGCGGCGAGCAGGGCATGGGAGCCAGGACCTGGGCCTGTGAGGGGCAGAGCTGCTGCAGAGCAGGGAAAGGGGGAGAAGCGACCCCCGCCCGCCCCACCCCCACCTCCTGGGAAACTGACCTCTGAGCGCTCAAGGTCGCCATCGCTGCACCAGCCTCGGAGGAGTTTATGGGAGGCAGCCATGGGGAACCCTGCCCGCCCCCACTCTGTCCTGCCCTCACTCCTTGGCCTGTTAACATGGGCTGGCACAGCTGGGATCCCACGCTACGGGGGCAGTGTTTCTGGGCCCCAGGATGATACCTCCAACCCCGAAGTTCCATTTGGGGTGGTGGGAAACCCTACACCCCCTTCCCTGGCCCCCAGTGAACGAGTGGGGAACTCGAAGGGGCCCCTCCTAGTGGCCGAGACAAACCCATGAAGAAGCACTGGGTCCTGGTCACAAATAAGCCCCTGCCTCCAGCAGGATGCTTCTCCCTCCCAGTCCCCTGCCCCTCCGATCCTGCTGGGACTCCTTTGTGAAGCTCCCCTTTTCTGCCTGCTCCTTCCATGTCTCCTGGTCTCCAGGGCAACGGGATGGGATGCGAGGAAAAGCCAAAGGACTGCCCCTCTGAGGAGCAGAAAGCTGCAGAGCCCCCAGCAACCAGGCATGTGCCCCTCAGTGGGCAAGGTGACTGGCTGCCCCTCCTGCCCTGTCCAGGTGGAAGGGCGCCTGGCACCGGCCTGGCCTCCCGAGCCCTCTTCAGGGTTGCCCCTCCAGCCGCCCCTCAGCGACCCGGGTTTGGGTACTCACCATTCTCTGCATGTTGGCCGCGGGGGGGTGGACCCGGCTGCGCAGGCGGTTGTGCAGGGAGAGGAGCAGGAAACTCTCCTTCCTGCTCAGGGCTGGGGCAGGGACAAGGTCAGGCCGCCTGAGCAGCAGGACCCGGGCTAACCCCGGGGTGATGGGTGGGGGTCACCATGGCAATGTGAGAGTGCAACCCTGCCCTTAGGAAACAAGACCTAGGATGGGACAGGAGGATGGTGGGTGTGTGTGGGAGGGCCAGGAGCAGAGGGCTGGGAGTCCTGAGAGGTGGAGAAAGTGGGGATTGGAGAGAGACTGAGGTATAGAGGAGTGCTTGTGCTGAGAGCTGGGGGTGGGGGCTGGGGGCTGAGTGTGAGGAGGGAGCCAGCCCTGGGCTGGCAGCAGCCCCCTGGCTGGGGCTCCTCTTGGCCACTGAGTCTCTCCTGGGGCCCCAGCTGCAGGCTCTGGGCCAATATTCCTGCTTGACCCCCAAGCCTGGGTCCAATCCCCTTCATTCTTCCTCCTCCCCAGCCCCAGCCTCCCCCATCCATCTAGGGCCCCTGGACTGTCTGAGAGTTGCTCTCTAAACCACAGCAGCATGCCCAGGGCTCAGGCCTGGGAACTGGCTTCCAGAAGCCCCCAGTACCCCTATGCAGAGCTCATAGCTCCTCCACCTCTTTCCTCACGCAGGTGCTCCTTACCTCCGGGCACGGGAGCCTGCTCTTGCTGCAGCTGGAGTGACCGCATCTCTGCCCAGGC